TCCAGGCAGCACTGGCCGCGGATGACGGGCCCGAAGGGCTTGGGGATGCCCAGGTGCCTCCCCAGCACCAGCATGTTCACCTGCGGGGGGACGGGCACCRCGTGTGGTGCCCACCGCCGCGCCRCCTCCAGGCCCTGTGCCGCGGCACCCACCATGTCGGGGAAGAGGGCGCGGGCGCCCGCCTGCCCGTCCCCTTGGAAGAGCTGCGGCACGTCCACGATGTCCCTCTCGGCCAGGCCCAGCTCCCGCTTGAGCACGTCGCGGTTCCAGCTGATGCAGCTCTGCGCGGCGGCCGCGCTCAGCGGGACGCCCGGCCCCGCCACGGCCCCCGCGCGCCCCGCGCCTCACCTGGGCGAACGCGTTGAACTTGCGCAGCGCCTCGTCGGCCAGCAGCGCRTTCACGCTCGGCTTGGCCACCCCCTTCAGCCCTGGGGGGGGCCCACAGCACCCACAGTGGGGTCGTCCCTTCCCGAGCAGTCCCCCCACACGCGCCCCGTACCCTCGAACATGGTGGCCTCCCCGTAGCCCTCCTCTTGCTTCTCCTTGAGCAGGCGGTAGCAGGCGCTGGGGCTGGCCAGGAGCAGCCGGAATCCCTGCGGGAAGCCGGCGGAGAGGGGCGGCGATGAGCGGCCCGAGGGCCCGGCACCCGCAGCGGTCCTCGGCGGGCCGTGGGGACRCGTCACCTGCCGGTCGGGAGCCGGCACGAAGGTGAGGAACTCGTCGACGTGGCCCACGGCGAGCCAGTCGGAGAAGAGCTCCACGGGCGCCTGCACCCGCTGCGCCACCAGGAAATCCCGCACGGCCTTGGCCATCCGCCGGCCACCGAACCTTGCAGGAGGAGGAGGAGGAGCCAGCGGTGGCCCAGGGGGGATGAAGGAGCTGGGGTGTTTTCCCCCTGGGGGATGCCCTGCTCACCTGGGGAAGCTGCTGCCCACCAGGATGCGGCCCAGCGGGAAGTCCTTGCCTTGCGCCGTCACCGGCGGGCTCACCTCCAGGTTCCCGAAGGAGTCGAGGCCGGAGGCGCCTTCTGGCGCTTCCCGGGCCACGTAGCCGAAATCGGGGCCCTGCCGGTGGGAGGGGACCAGGGTCTGGAAACCTCCCCCCAGCCTCTGCCAACCCGCACCCCGAGAAGGGCCGTCCACCAGCTCGTCCCCCCAGGAATTGCCTCCCTGGCCCCAAATCCATTCCCGAGGGACTCCCAAGGGGCCAGCCGGGTTGGGGACCGGCTGCCACCATGGGAATGTGGCACAGGAGCAGGACCCGGCTACCAGGATGCGCTTGACTGGGAAGTCCTTGAGCCCGCGGTCGCGGGGCGAGTCGAAGACCACGGGGAACGTCTTATGGGGAGCTTGCACATAGCCGAACTCGATCTCGTCCTGGTGGAGGATGGAAGCTCCCGCTGGAGCAGCACCCGGTGGCGGGGCCGGTCCGGGGGCCGTCGCTGCGGCGCGAGGACCCACCTGGATCCAGCGGTCGTGGCGGTTCTCCAGCAGCGGGCACACRGTGACGGCGCAGCCGGCCCGCTGCGCCAGGGCGCTCACGGCCACCACGAACTCCTGGTTGTCGGCCAGGCTGCGGGCGAGAGCGTGCGTGCGACGGGGCCCAAATGGGACGGCGCCCACCACTGCCGCCGTGGCGTCACCCACCTGCACACATAGACCTCGGCGGGCGCCAGCGTGTTGGGCGTCATGATCCACGGCGCCACGCGGAAGACCACGGTGTCCGTGAARACGGGCGTCTCCAGCGAGCCCTGGAGAGGAGGAGCCGCGGGCGCCGAGTGCAGCGGGTGCGCGCGCGCCCAGCCCTGGTCCCGGYGCCCGCTGCGCGCCGGCACCTTCTCGGCGCTCTCCAGGAGCGTCACGTGCAAGGAGAGGAGCCCATCGAAGGCGGCGTCCGGGAAGCTCAGCGCCTCCACGTAGAAGACGTTCTCCTCGTGGTGCCTGCTGGGCTTCACGGCGTACGCGAGCTTCTGGCCGCCCAGCACGTGCTTGTAGTCCTCCACGGAGGGGCCGGCTGCCGCCAGGAGCAGGAAGACAAGGTGACAGCGTTGGGGACGTGCAAGGGGACGTGCCCGCGCGCGCGGGTTTGCGCGCCCGGCGCCGTGTCCCACTCACGCCCGCCGTAGAACACGCCGAGCTTGTCGGCGTCGCCGTAGCCCACGTGGAGGACGAGGCGGTGGCTGGCGAAGACGGCGCGGGGTCCGCGCGTGCGCAGCACCAGCTGCGACATGTCCTTGAGGTCTGCGGGCAAAGGCAGCGAGGCCCCGGCTGCTGGGCGAGCCCTGGCGCTGCCACGCCGGGGCCCCGGGGACCTGCATTCGTGCAGGCAGCTCCCTCCCACCCCTTGGAAAACGTGCAGAGAAATAGGAAGGAAAAGCAGAGAAGTGGTTGCAAATGCCCTCCCCAGTGTTAACGTGGAAATGCTGATGCGAAGGGCAAAAGCGGGGTGCAACGAATGGGAAAAGGCAGATGCCAAAGAGCGAGGACGCTGCTGCAGGAATTCCACCACAGGGCTGCAGAAGTGCTCTACCGCGGCAGCGCAAATGCCTGTATGTGGATGCCAGGCTGCAAAAAGGTGCCTGGAGTGCTACAACGGCAGTGCGAAAGGGTGGAGGGGTTGATGCAAAAATGCAATAGCGCTTGTAATAAATAAATAAATAAATTCATACATACATACATAAATACATAAATACATAAATACATAAATACATAAACAAACAAATAGAAAGTGAAAATGTGGATGCAAAAATGCTAAGATGCGGATGCAAAAACACTAAAACGTCAAAGCAAAACTGCAAAAATCCAATGCGAAAATGCAAAAAGGCCAATGCAAAAATGCTGAAAGGCTGATGCACAAAATGCTAAGCCTGAGAGGATGCCAAACCGCAGGCAGGCGGAGGCCGGCAGCCGCGGGCCGGGGCGCGCGGGTACCCTCGTAGGAGCGCGTGGCGGCGGCCTCGCCGTGCTGCCCCGCAGCGCGGGGCTCCTCGCGGTCGCAGTTCACCAGCAGGACGGCGCCGTGGCCTTCGGGCCCCCACGTCCAGAGGCGCTGTGGGCGGCAGCGCGGGGTCCCCCTGTGCCCACGGCGGCGGCGGCAGCGTGCCATCGCCGGGCGCCCCTCACCTTATCAGCCAGCGTGCGGCCCGGGGCGCCGCTGCGGCTGCCGTCGGCCTCCAGCGCCACCTCTGCGGGGACAGGGACGCTTGAGGAGGTGGGCGCCGGCGCGGGGGCACCCGCCCGCCCACGGGCCCCCACGCACCCACGCAGGTCACGTAGAGCATGGCTCTGCCCAGGGGCACCCCGCCGTCGGCGGCGAAGTAGGAGA